TGAAGCTTGGACCAAGGAGGATTCCGATGAATTGTTACACAATTGATAGTGGATGCTATAAAAAGATGATAGAACATTATGGAGAATTATTATTATTATTTATCTAGACATTATTGTTTTTTTTAATTATTTTTACTTTTGACTCTTTTTAAATTTGAATTATGAATTTTTTTTAAATCTTATCAAATGTCAAAACTCTACAAAATCTCACAGAATCTATTAAAATCCTGATTTAAAAGTCTTGTAGAATCCATTAAAATCCTGATTTTAAATCTTGTAGAATCCTGCAAAATCTTAAAAGTCATGAAAATCCTGCAAAGTCTTTTAAAATCCGCAGGATTCTTTTTCACTAAAAAAGTCCTTTAAAATCCTAATCCAATACACCCCCCTTAGTTTAATCAAGTGAGAGAAAATTTGGGATTTAATCAAGTGAGAGGAAATTAATCTAAGGGTTATATTTTAACTCTCTCATAATAAATTCTCTCTTACTTGATATGCTCCCTATATATATATATATATATATATATATATATATATGGGGGATGCTAATATACTCCAACATATTTTTTAGTGGGAGTATGCTAGTAACCTACACCAAAATTTTGGGACAAAAAAATCACTCATTTTTTTTGATTTGGTTAATTCGTACAAAGGATATTATAGTAATTTAATTTAATTTTAAATGAAAATAAAATATTTTCTCTCATTAATTTCATTCTCCAATTATTTTATTTTTTCTATTAATTAATTTTTATTTGTTTATAGAGAGAGGGGGGAGACATCATGAGAGATGATAGAGAAATGAGTTAAAGAAAGAATTTAATAGGATAGAGAAATGACAGAATGAAGTTAATAAGAGAGAGAAAATATTTTATTTTTATTTAAAATTAAATTAAATTACTATAATATCCTTTATACAAATTAACCTAATCAAAAGAAATGAGTGATTTTTTTGTCATAAAATTTTGGTGTAGGTTGTTAACATACTCTCACTAAAAAATAGGTGAGAGTATATTAACATTCCTATATATATATATATATACACACGTATATGTATGTATATATTTGATATTATTTATCTTACAATATAGTAACTAAAACTTAATCACACTAAATATTAATCATATTTAATAAATAATATTTAATTAAAATAATATAATAACATAAATAATATATATAATTAAAGTTTTATAAAATAATTATATCCGATAAATTTTATATTATTAATATATATAATACACATACAAACACCAAACAAAACTTCTCTACACACTAACACAAAAGAAAACATAAGGTAGATTTATTTAATTACATGTATGCAAAAAAATTAAGTTTATTGAATTAAGTGTACAAGACATTAGACTTAGAAACAAATTTGAATTTTATTTTAATAATTACCATCATATATCACTATGTTTTTCATAGTACAGAAAATAATGAAAATGAGATTTTTTCATTTTCAAATTTGGGTTTCTTTTGAAAACATTTTCAAAAGAAAACATTTTCTAAAATTAAAAATAAACACATTTTCATACTTTCTATCTTCTTTAAAAATGAAAATAGAAAACGGTGAAATCAAACAAACACTAATATTACTTAAAAGTTTTAATATGTTTTTGTTCTTTTTAAATTTGGTTTGATTTTAGAGTTATTTATTTGTATAAAGTGAATGATTTTAACTTTTGCCCGGTAAGTGAGTTTAATTAAATGTTAAAACCAGTGATGATGATTAAGTCATTATTATTACAGGTAGTTTGATTACCATTATTTAAATATTTTTTAAATCTGTATAAATATTTTCTATAAGTAATTACAGTAAAAAATATTTCTTTCCCTTTAATTTTTTTATTCTTTTAAAAAAAACCTAGTATTTTAATGTGTAATGCACCAAAAAATACATGCACTTCATATATTTAAAATTATAAAGAATATTTTAAAATGTATAAATTAAACTTTTTGAAATATCTTTTTTATATAATTTGGACTAAATTGTACTTTCAATTATTTAATTTTTGTTATTCCGTAATTTTGGTCTCTATATTATAAAATAGAAATATTTAGTCTGTTTAATTTTAAAAATATAAAATTTTCATCTTTCCCTTAAATTGATATATATATATATAGCTAAATTTTAACGTTTATTCATACTTAAGTGGTGTGTCATTTAATAATATGACATTTGGAGATAGAAAAACTAAAAAAAGTCATGCAAATAAGATTTATTAATAAATTAAACATTGAAAAACTAAAAAAAATCATGCAAATAAGATTTATTAATAAATTAAACACTAATCACTCGTTGAAATTATACAAATATTTTTTTATATGTTATTTTTTAATTTTTATCTTCACATGTAACATCACTAAATATCATGTCACTTAAGTAGTGATAATCACTAAACAATGTCAAAATTTAATAATTAATAAATATCAAATTGATAGCAAAATTTTATATTTTTAAAATAGAGAAACTAAATATCTCTATTTAAAACAGAGGAAACAAAATTGTAGAGTAAAAAAATTGAGAGATTAAAAGTGTAATTTAGTCTTATGAAATTATACAACATTTTCAAAATTATAATTATATTTAAAATATTTTCTTTAAAGTTATTTAAATATTAATTTTTATTTTAATATCCTAGCAAGTAATATAATTAAAATTTAAATTTATTATAAAATATTGAATGAAAATTGTATAATATAAATTATATAAATTAATATATACATTATAAAATATATAATACTATATATTATATAAATTAATATTATTATATATTTTAAAATTACTATTTAATTTATATATGTTTTATTTATTTTATATTTTTCCGATTATATATATATATATTATAATATTATAATTTAGAATTATAAT